TTCCGTACGATTACATCCGCATATTATCGTGGCGCAGATGGAGTGGTTGTCATGTACGATTGTACGAATAGGACATCTTTTAATAATGTAGAATCATGGGTTACCGAAGTCGATAAACAATCAGGAGGATCCGCGATTAAGATCCTAGTCGCAACTAAGTCCGATGCCCTCGAACGAACAATCTCTACGGAAGAAGGACAACAAAAAGCTAAGTCTCTTAACATGCTCTTTGCAGAGACTTCCGCTAAAGCTCCAAGTCGTGTTGAAGAACCCTTTAATATACTCGCCTCCGAAATTATCAAACAAACGTATGCACACATTACATCCCTATCTACCACTTATGGACACACACTCTACTACTTTTGACACACACACTCTACCACTTTTGACACACACACCCTACCACTTTTGACACACACTTTACTACCATCTACTTTGGTGTTGTGTAGGGGCGGGAAAGCGGCTCGGAATGCTCAAAGGATGGGCGTTAATATCACAGCTGAAGACAAGCAGAGTTGGTGTTGCTAATTTTCCTGAATTTTTTATTCCACAACACCCACATGAATTCTCCTTTCCTTCTTCTGGAAGTGTATTCGAACAAGAGACCATATTTCACCCCAGAGGAACATATTGATGATATAAAGTTTGTGGACGATGGAAAGTTCCTCTCGGACGATATAACGCGGAAGGCTTGTGTGTTGGGCATTTGTTTGATGCGAGAGAGCGGCACGTCACGCAAGGTACCTGCGTTGAGAGTGTCAGAATATGTGGACGGCCAGGTGGAATTGATGCCTTGTGAGAGTGTATCTATAGCAGAGGCTTTGGTAAAAGAGAACGTGAAGAAGAAGTATTATCATGTGCTTGATGACGCGGTATGGCGTTGTGATGACGCGGTATGGCGTTGTGATGACGCGGTATCGCGTTGTGATATGTGTTTCCAACAGCCTTGTAGAGGGTGCTCTGTGGACTTGAGTGAGGTTGTAAGAGTGCAGAGAGAGCAGGTGGATTTGGTAAGGGTCCGGAGAGTGGCGACGACATTGAGAGCGTTTTATGATGAAGTTTGCTTCCGTGTGTGCTTTGTCAAGTGGGTATGGTTCTGTGTTGGCAAAGTGGATGAGTATCAAGCAGGGTGCTTTAACATCCTGCAGCAAGTCCAATGGCCGGTTATGCGGCCTGTCCGGTGTGTATCTGGGGTCACCTATAAACCAGACTTTTTGAATGGGTCGGAGGCTGAGACGATACTGCGTTTCGTCGACAGTCAAATATGGACTATGTTGTTGAAGCGACGAGTGCAACACTACGGCCATCAGTTCCTTTACGACCGGTTATACATTGACAAACGCAAGGGCGTCCCTATACCATCGGAATTCAACTTCTTGATCTCAAGACTATCCCACACACTAGGCTGGGTACCCGACCAATTAACTATCAACGAATATCTCCCCGGCCAGGGTATTGGCTTCCACGTTGACACTCATTCCGCCTTCCACAACGCCATAGCTGTCGTCTCTCTCGGCTCCGGCCTAGACATGTCCTTCAGACGCGCGTGTGGTCAAGAATTCGCCCGGACAAAAAACCACCCTGTCGTCAAGGAAAAAAACAACCCTGTCGTTCCCAACGATCAAAACCTCAGTGATTCAGGCTTTAATGATTCAGGCTTTAATGATTCAGGCTTTAATGATGCGGGCTTTAATGATTCAGGCTTTAATGATGCGGGTTTTGTGGAACTCAACTTGAGGCTGGAGTCGAGGTCACTGATGTGTTTCGCTGATGAAGCAAGGTACGGTTGGCATCACGGCATCAAAAATAGACGACAAGATTTTGACCACATGTTGGGCCACCCGATCCCCCGAGAGCGACGGGTCAGCCTAACCTTCCGACAACTCAACTGGACAAACGATTTCCAATGCCACTGCAAGTACCCGCATCTCTGTGACACGCAGAATCCAGCAAGCTTGAAAACACCAGACCGGGTCAGTGCATGACCGACATAACTAGCACATCGACCGATCTGCCGACATCA